TGAAAATCTTTAGTTCTTCAAGAAGTTTTTCATACCAATACCTTGAGCTATACTATTTGCCATCTATTGAAGTGTTTGCCTTGTTCTCTTCGTGTACTCATTCTTTGAATATATCATTAGATAAGAAGAGAAGACTTTTCACTTGTAAAACTCTTTTGAATCGAGGGTCATATTGAGGTCATATAAAGCTCAATAGTTTAGGTCGTGTTGAGGTCCCGTAAAGCTCAACATTGTAAAAGGATCGGTGCTCCTTATTTGTTAGTCACCGGAAGCGTTGTAAAGGATTGGATTGCACCATAAGTCAATCAACTTAGTGAAAAAGGCGTTGCTCGTATCGAAGAGCTTGGTAACGGGGGACGTAGATTATTGCATTGGATCAAACCTCCATATCATATCATTTGCACTCTCTATCCCTTTTACTTAACGCTTCTACCTTGTGCAAATTTACATTACTCCATTTATGTGCTTACTTGTGTTTAGATTATTCATTATCATTTGTATGTTCATTATAATTAAAATTTTGAGTTATTAACGAAAAAGTTTTAATAACCAATTCACCCACCTCTTGGTTAGTCTATCTTGGACTTTCAAAAGACACCATTTCTAAAGGGATACAAGAGAGGAATCTTTCAGTGGTTGTTTCTAAATGTAACAATGTTGGAAATTCAAGGGAATGGTAGGTTGATACTTGTGCTATTCATCACATTTTTGTAGACTAGATCATGTTCTCAAACTACAAAGAATTAAATGGAGAACAACTCTTCATTGAAAATTTTGCAAGTTCTAAAGTTGAAGCACATGAGAAAGTTACTTTGAAGAAGACATCTGGTAAAGAGTTTGTCCTCAATAATGTCCTACATGTACCAGATATTCGCAAGAATCTTGTATACGGTCTATACTTAACAAAAATGACTTACAAACTTGTATTTGTATTTGATAAATTTGTACTCACTAAGAATGAGATGTATGTTGGTAAATGATACTCATGTGATGGAATGTTCAAAATGAACGTTCTTAAAATTGTACCAAAACAAAGCACTACAAATAAAACTTTGAATTCTACATATATGCTTGAGTTGTCTTGTTTATGGCATAGNGGTAAGAAATAGTTTATGACTTTCATTGATGATTGTACAAAGTATTATTTTGTCTTTTTATTACGAAGTAAAAATGAAGCCTTAGATGCCTTTAAACATTATAAGATGGAGGTTGAAAATCAACTTGGTAAATGAATAAAAAGTATTCGTAGTGATAGATGTGGTGAATATGGGGCACCGTTTGAAGAATATCGTTTCGAATATGGAATCATTCATCAAACAATGGCACCTTACTCACCACAATTAAATGGTATTGCTAAACGTAAAAACCGAACTCTTAAAGAGATGATAAACGCAATATTGTTAAGTTCGGGTCTACCCTAGAACTTGTAGGGGAAAACTATTCTAACTACAAATAGCATTTTTAACAAGATAACCTTTAAGAAAATGGAAGAAACTTCATATGAACTATGGAAATGTCATCCTTCTTCCTACCAACACTTGAAAGTGTGGGGATGTTCGCTAAGGTTGAAGCACCTATGCATAAACAAGTTAAAATTGGTCCCAAGACTATTGATTGTATATTTATTAGATACACCAATAATAGTAGTGCATACTGCTTTCTCGTACATATATCTGAAATTTAAGATGTAAATGAAGAAACAATAATTGAATCGAGAAATTCATCATTCTTTGAGAATATTTTTCTATATAAAGACAAGGAAAATGTAAGTTCAATTAAAATAACTTATGATACTACAAATGACACTTCAAATGAGAAAGAACCAAAGTGTAGTAAAATGACTAAAATATCTACTTCGTTTGGCCCAAATTTTCTATCATATATGGTAGAAAATGATCCAAAGACTTAATATGAAGCAATGTCTACACCGGAAGCGCCGCATTTGAAAGAAACTATCAATAGTGATATAGATTCTATAATGTAAAACCATACTTAGGAGTTAGTTGAGATGCCTCCTAAAGACAAACCTTTAAGGTGTAAATGAATTTTCAAAAGAAACTAAAATCAGACGGATCATTTGATAAATATAAGGCTAGATTGGTTGACAAGGGATATAGACAAAAAGAAGGATTTGACTATTAGAATCACTTCGATAAAGTTGTTAATTGCAATTGCAACATTACATAACCTTGAGATTCATCAAATGGATGTAAAGATTGCATTCATACATGGTAAGTTAGAGTAGGAGATATACACGGAACAACTTGAAGGGTTCGTCTCTCCTAATCACAAACAAAAGGTTTGTAAACTATTTAAGTTCTTGTATGAATTGAAACAATCTCCTAAACAATGACATCAAAAGCTTGACAAAACGATGTTGTCTAATGGGTTCAAGATAAACGAGTGTGACGAATGTGTATACATAAAATATACACCAAAAGCCTACGTGATTGTACGTATATATGTAGACGATATGTTGATAATGGATAGTAGTCACGAAATAATATTAAACACTAAGAGAATGTTAACAAAACATTTTGATATAAAATATTTGGGTGTGGCTGATGTAATATTAGGGATTAAGATTTTCAGAACATCGGAAAAAATTATACTTTCTCAATCTTACTACATTGAAAGTATACTTAAAAGGTATAATGCACTTGAGGAAAGTCTTGCGCAAACTCCCATTAACACGAGTTTACAATTAGTAAAAAATACGGGTGAATGTGTGTCACAACTAAAGTAGTAACAGGTTATAGACAGTTTAATTTATATTGCAAACTGCATCAGACCGAACATTGCATTTGCTATAAATAAACTTAGTAGATTCACAAGTAATCCAAGTCATGATCATTAGAAGGCTTTAACAAGGTTTCTTAGGTACTTGAAGTATACTTTAACTTATGGATTACACTTTACAAAATATCCCAAGGTATTGGAGGATATTGTGACTCGAATTGGATATCGACATGAAGGATTTTAAGTCTACAACTGGTTATGTATTTACCATTGATGGAGCTACTATATCATGGAAGTCGACAAAGCAAATGTGTATAACTCGATCAATGATGGAATCAGAGTTTACTGTTTTGGACAAAGTTGGAGAATATATTGTGATAGTCATCGGCTATTGGAAGGGCTCAAAGTAGCATATAGAATGGTAAATCTAAACATATACGTCGTAGACACAATACCATTGAGCAACCACACATTTTCCAAAAAATACTATTCATTACACAATTTTCTTCTCAATAATGGTTGACAAACAGGGGCTTAATCTTTTCTCATTAAGTCATAAATTAGTGGATATATTATAAAGTCAAAACTTATCCAGCGTATTAATTTTATATGATTGAATAAACGAGGATAAGCACCACAAATTAATTGAATCCGATTACTAATTGCACCAAACAACTTATGAGGATTGAAAATTAATTTAATCCTTATTCGATCTAATACAATGTTCAAAATGTGCCTTAGTACCTGTCTGGTCTTGATTCTCTATGAATTAGAATTGAAATGATGACCGTTAGTAGGCCCCACACGAGAGAGGGAGAGTCAATAATTGCACCTGAATGCTTAAAAAAGGTCATAAAAATGCTTAAAATCAGGCCAAAAATCTCCACCAGGCAGGCCCTTAATCTATTAAAGGTACAAATGAATCGGGTTGGACAACATAACTGGAGACTTTCCGTTGTACAACCTATACAAAATCAATTTCGAATTACATAATATTGGACTATACTCAACTGTGCATAAATTGAGAAAGAGAAACATGCAACGAAATTTGTCTGCATCCAGAACATGACACCTTAACCCTAGTTTGATTATGATTTTTCAAAAATATATATAGTTTTTTCAAACTCATTTTTAATTACACATTCTTCCACTAAAATAATTTTACATGTAAATCTATAATTTTTCATTATTTTTTAACTACACATTCTCTAAAAAATAATAATAATAAAACAACTTCTCAAAATAAATAAATAATAAAGTTCAACACGGGTCAATAAGTGCTTACTATTACTATTACTATCACAATAATATCATATGCTATAATCACTCCATTTAGAAATGAAGGATGATCCATCGACTCCCCTGGAACTTCCTCATGCTTAGTTGGCTGCTCTTTCCCTCCCACCAACCTTGCTGGATTCCCCACAGCTGTTGTCCTTGGAGGCACGTCTATCAAAACCAATGAGCCAGCACCAATCTTGGCCCCATCCCCAATCTCCACGTTACCTAATATTATTGCTCCTGCACCAATCAACACTCCATCGCCAATCTTGGGGTGACGGTCACCAACAGCGTTGCCAGTTCCACCTAACGTCACATGGTGGAGAATTGAAACATTGTTACCAATCACAGCAGTCTCTCCGACTACCACTCCAGTTGCATGATCAAAGAGGATACCTTTGCCGATTTTGGCAGCAGGGTGTATATCGACAGCAAAAACATCAGAGATCCGAGATTGCAGTGCAAGAGCTAGAGGTTTGCGAGATTGAGTCCACAGCTTGTGAGCCACTCTGTGTGCCTGTAAGTACAAAATATAACTAGTTCGTTAGAAATTATTGGAAGAAAAACTGTATGGTCGAAGATTGCTGGAGAATTGAAACCCTCTAGCTCCAAAGTCCAAAGAATTAAGATACAGTGTATATAACAATAGAATGTACAGACTTCCAGATACAAGAGACCAAACTAGACGGATAGGGGGGTTCCTTAGCTTAGATTTGTAGGGGATAGGCATATAAGGGCAAGACTTGCACAAATGTATTGGGACTCAAATGAAGAATGTAGCAACAAAATCAGACGTCTGAACTGTGACGTACATGTTGGTTGAGATCTGATGAGATGAATTATTAAAATCATAAAAAATGTATTATTGATTATATGCTTCTAGGAAGGTACAAACTTTTGTTTGTACATGTACATGTATGCACATGTCTATGTATTGTATTACTTGGTTTATCAATGTTGTGCATGAGTATCGATCGTTTTTTTTCCTAAAGCGCTAATATATTGATCTTGATATAAGTATAGATCGTAGTAACTTCATATGAGCAGCATTTTTTCCTACTGGGCTTTGGCTATGATATACAATAAACTGATTATCTGTCAATATTTTGGGACTTTGCTCCAAAATTGATAACCTTTCGCTTTCTAGAGGATGAACATGAGGTTCAAACAACACACAGTTATACAAAAAGTAACGAACAGGAATACCTTACAAATTCCTATCAGTATCTAGAGTACAATAAAAAATCTAAACCTCATCCAAATAGGTTTCAAGTTTGCTACATGAATCCTTCTATGCCACTTAGTTCAATTCCTTGGCACACTTTCAGAGAATCTTGGTACATGAAATCTTCTTCGGCACTTCGTTCAATTCCTTGTGAACTTCCAGAGTTCCTTACTATATTTACTAGAAGATTCAATGAAAATGGATCTTTTGCAACCATAATAAAGACATCAATTTCGGTCAACCTATTCTTCTTCTAATATGTGTTATTGTGATGGCATCTTACAAACTGAAACTTCTTTATGTTTATGCAACACATGATATAACCACTCAAGTCTTAACTAGTCATTTTATTAATTTATCCACAATAGGAACAAGTTCTCTTGTTAATATATGTTCTCATTTCTTATCTTATGATTCGAGTATAACCACACATCCATGTTAACATCCCATGTTTCAGCTATGTTGCTAAAAATGAAATTTTACCCTCAACAGCCTAACACTGATTAACGTAAATATAGTAGGTCTAACAAGCATTCTACAGAACCTAAATCCTAAACCAGTCTTTGAGACAACATGATTCTCTATCGTAATTTCACTACCTTCCTTGTTCACACAGCATATTTCGTGCACTCCACTCCCTCTTAGTTCTTGACAAATAATACTTAGATTCCAACAGTTTTAGCATCCTGATCTCATCCATTAAACTATGTCATTAATAAATATTATACACCAACACAGGTCATTTAGGATATATCTCATAAGGCCATTCATTACGAAAGTAAAAAGATAAGAATTTAAGCAAAACCTCGATACAGGCCTACAATGATAATAAATTTTCTACTATCAATGACAATAAAACTTAGCCTCCGTTTGGCTAATTTATAAATGATCAAACTCTATTTTCAACCATATATTCCAATGGATCCACAAGTACTATCCACCACTCATTTCTTAATTTTGCCTCCATCTGGTAGAATTTATAAATGGTTTAATTTATAAATGAAAAAAAATGAGTGGTGGATAAGTGGATTATACTTGTGGGTTCATTGGAACGTGTGGTTAAAATTAAAATTTGACCATTTATAAATGATTTATATGTTAATAATCAAACCGTTTATAAATTCTTCCCAAATGGAACTTACTCATAACTCGTCCATTGTCGATATCCTTAATAATATTAATGTTTAATAGGAATTTTATTCTCTCCAACTCCAACCATGGAACTTCATAGCACCCTATTATAGGATTTTTCTTAACCAATGAAATCATATACAAATTTTGTCTCCTCTTTACATCTCTCTGTCAATCTCTTACATAAATAGCTCTATAGTATCCCTAGAACAAAACCGAATTGGTTTGTAAGACCTTTGGATTGCACCTTACCCTCTCACATAATTTAATAGTATGATTCATGGGATCAGTACATTCTATAATTTGTACAATCTTGATTTATCACCTTTAATTTTATAAATAGGCATTATAGGCTCTACTTCCTTTTATACTACATCTTGACTCTTTTAAAACATTGAGTAATTTTGTTGACCATAAAATACCCAAATCTCCTGGAAACTTCTATACACAGAATGAAATCAAAACCAGCTATTTATTTCTTAACGACATCCTCTTCATACTCTCCTTCACTTCCTAAACCTGAATTCTTCCATTATTGTTACCTAGCTGCAATTGAGACTGACAAATCCTCAATATCGAAGCCTTCCATTACCAAACGTGACTGGTTAAGAACTCAATTTCCTTGCTCTCTTCATCACAATAACTCGTAAATAATTGTCACCATATCCTAATTTCCGGATAACTACATGTTCACTAATACTTCTGCAGTGAACAGCAGAATCACACTTGTTTCTTGTTTAGCTAACTTATCTTGTCAAAAGCCTTCACATTTTCATATTTCGCAAATTTATATAGCTTTCTTTTTGGTCCTAAACACCTTCTAAAGCCTTCCGAACCTCCTTATTCCACTACCATGTTTCCTTATTGGTTTTCTACCATAGACTCTCCTAAGACCTCCTCTGCATGTTTTGAATGCAACTAGTCACCTCGTTCCACATAATATTACTATCTCCATTTATTTCATTTTTATTCTTTCGAAACTATATCCTGAAATTCACTTTTTTTTCACCCTACAAGCGTGATCATCTTGTTCCATAAACTCAAGCCTCTAGGGTAGTTGTCCAGTTTTTAATAATCACATCAAGTACAACCTAGGAAGCACCAATACTTGTAAACTCGTTATGTATACGATACGTATCCAAGCTCTGATACTCTTTGATACCCTCCAATACGTATCAGATACTTTTTTTAAATTATTTTATATAATTTTTAAACTGTTGACATGGATCCGATACGTATTTTTTAATTAATTTATATTTTTGTAAGATTTTCGATACATATCTGATACGTATCCGATATATATTTTTTAAATTATTTTAATACCTTATTGAAGATCAATAATATTTATTGAAAATAAACAATTAGAATTTTAAAATTAACTAGACTTTTATTGGAAATGCAAACTGACTAATCTTTTAATACATATAAAACTGTGCTATAGTTGACAAATATATTTTTATTATTGAAAATAGATAATGATTCGTATTAAATAATACATGTAAAGTTGTGTTACATTAATTCTATCATTGAAAATAGATAATGATTTAATATATGCTAAATAGTGCTAATAAAGTGCTTTAGTATTTTTTTTTTTTAATTTTTACTATCATGCTTTTGTATTAACATTTTTTTATATTAATAAAATTATATTGAATTTTATAAAACGTATTGGCATATCCTATTTTTTTCAAAAAAGTCGTATCGGCGTATCCGAATTACATATCTGTATCCGTGCCTCCTAGAGTACAACTAATATACGGTATGTTGTTAAGCTCTCACCAGAAATTAACTTACAATCATTTTACAAAACCTATATGACTTCTAGCAATGATAAAATCTATTTGATTAAACTTTTAAGCAAACTGGCCATCAACGCAGAAGCGTATAATTTGTTCATGAAAAAGAGGAGCAAAAGGAAAAGAGACTAAGAAGAGAAGAATTGAGAGTAAAGGAAAATATCAATTTATCATATAATCAAGGATTAACTATTTCATTGAATAAGTCCCTCTATCTATAAAGCAAATAAACAAAAAGAAACTAAGCCTCCATTTGGTAGGCATTAAAATGAAAAAAAGAGCCGTTGGGCTCATATTCCAACCAATTTTTTTGACTTTTTATCTCTATGGTAGGTCCCAGGTTGGCCCACTAACGATCACATTTTTTCTACAAACTTTCATTTTAATGCTTACCAAACGGGCTCTAAAAAGAAACAAACCTCTAATAAACTATAATTGTATCAAAATAAATATTTTCTAATCTAATTAAATATTCTTTAAGTCAAACTCTACTTTAAAATCCTAAATAAAATCTATCTCTATTTATATTCTTATATTGATCTCCATCATTTCCTCCCAATTAAGAGGACTTACCCCAATGAAGTAGACTGGAACTGCATACTCCAAGGAGGTCTATCTTTTGTCTTGATCAAGTGTCTATACTGAACCTAGACAATATATAGTTTTTTTTACATGATTGATGAAGTCGAAAAGATATGTACCAACGGTTGTTAGCCAGATGGCAAGCTTCATTGTAATGACCCAACCTTGTGCCCAAGTAGTTAATCTACGTATTGTTTGGGATGTCATCTGCCCTCTTAATCCCTCCCGAATTTCTATAGCATTCCCAGGATTGAAACTCAAAACTTTTACCTTTTTTTTTATAGGTAATTATTGAAGTAAAAGAATAAGAAGGCTTAACTATTGTAATAGCCTCACACTATTTATAATAAAAACTTAAGAAACCCTAGGTATTACATAAAAGATTTAAATACCCTTAAACAATATCAAATACTAGGAACCTCTTATTTATATATGCAGTAACCACCATTTCTTTATTGGTTTTGTTTAAATCCGAGGGAAGTATTTATTTTTAGATTGCTCAAGACTCACAGAGGTAATCCATTCAGGCCCCTTACCACCACTTTCCTTTTAGTTTACTTCGTCTAGTTTCAGAAACAAATTTCAATAGCACCAGTATTCAGGTTATTATCATCCTCCACTAATTTGCCTAAAGAAGCAACGCAACTATCAAGAGTGAGCTTAGTACCACATTGCGTAGGACTCATTTGATTCTTGAAACATCGAGTCAGTGGCAGCCAGAGCAGGTAGCAAATCAGAGCAAGTTTGCACATTAGTGAGAAACTCACACTGCTTTGTAACTCG